CAAATAGGCCCAGATTTCCAAAGCCTCCAAAAGACTCAAATGCCCAAATTCCATAGATAGTGTCATTGTCTAGGCGCATCAGAGTTCCCTAAGGATCTCAAGGATCCCGGACAGTTCTCACACCTAGACTTGGTAATCAAATTGAGTAAGTGCAGTGTGGAAGGGCCAACCTCAGTGTGCCAGAGTTCAGAGGATTCTCAAGAGTATCCCAAGGCAGTACACACACTGGAGGGGCAAAACCTAGTGACTTAGGAGTAGAGTGAGAGTGCTTGACACATTTTGAAAAGTTTTGCTGGGAAAATAGTGTTTAAAAGAGATTTGGTTGAAATAATTAAGTAAAAGAACAGAGGAGTTATTCAATGAGATAGTTTGAAAAGAGTAGGGCAATCAACAAACAACAGACCAACCTTAAAACCAAACCAGGTTCAGCATCACATATAGAACAAAGAAAAAAGACAGGTTTAACACCACAAGCCTTTACACAGGAGTAAATAGGAATTGGGGATAGGTGAAGTACATAATGGTAAACACATAGCAGGCAGAAGTCTTTGGAATTGGTACAGATATACTCAAAAACACATATTAGACATAGTCATAGAATCAGTAATGCTTAAGGGGTTCAGTATAGGATCAACATGATTTAAGATCAATCCCAGAATCATACACGTTTAGGAGTGCAAACTACTTTACAAGGAGATTCATACCAGAAACCAGATAGAGCAAGATCACATGGAGACAGACTATATAGAGGGGGTAACATGTTCATACTGATCCTAAGGAAGGGGAGTACATAACATGTTAATAATATAAATATATCAACTACAGGTTTCACAACAAAACCATAAGTAAAAGCAGACTAGAAACAGGATAAATTGAAGTAATAAAAGGACCATAATGTTTTTGGAACTTGAATTGAAGTCAGAACATACCAGTAAAGAAGGTAGTAAACACAAAGTGACGAGCAAGAGAGTAGATTAATCAGCCTTGGTTTGTAGCCGGTTGACTTAGAATAATAGCAAATAACTAGAGAAAAGAGAGCAGAAGAGAGTTTTTGTGTGAGCGAGAGTTTTTAACCAATGTGTTCGTTTGTTTGTGTTAATGAGAGTGTGTGTATATATAGTAGTTCGAAATTAGGTAAAATAAGGCAAGAATCACAGTAGTAAAGTAATTATGGAACCAAGTACTAATCAGAATCAAATCAATGCAAGTATTCCTTTAATTAAGGTGTAATCAACCAACAGTACTAGGCAGAAAATGTTTAAGGAAAGAAATCAAGTAGGGCATCAGGTACAAAATAGTCAATTAGGGGTAAGTACATAAGGGTTCAATTAAGGAAACAACTAGTAAAGAATTAGTAAAATACTCAGTTAACCAAATAAGGTAAGAAAATAAAATAAAGGTGCAGAATATGGAAATAATCGAAAATCAGCATATAGTAAATTGGTGAATCAAGGACTCAAAATTACTGATTTACGGGGAGTGACAGCGGTTCCCATGAATAAGCAAATAAACCAAATTTAAACAGGAAAATCGAAGGTCTAAAAGGAAGTTTTCAAATCAAGCCAAGAAACAGGGAGCTCAAAGTCAATCAAGGAGAGAGTTTTAGCATATAAATAGAGTGAGATAGGAGTAACCAAACATAGCAAGCAAATAGGCAAGTATTGACCAGTCAAGATGAACACAAACATATAGAGGTGATATAAGTTAGGCTAAAAACTCAGTAGGAGCATATTCGAAGCAAAATAGTCACAGAAACTCAAACAAGCAACGATCAATCATGCTAACACACAGAACCAGACGAAGAAAATCTAGAAAATTAGGGCTTTCAACATAGGTGAGTTGAAGAGGTAGTAAAATCATAGAATCAGTCTAAATATGCAAGAAATAGAAGTTTAAACATAAAGAATCAGTTTAAACAAATTTTTTAAAAGAAGTTCTGAAACCCTAATTTTTAGAAGAAGGTGAAAACACTTGAAATCAACGATTCTTGTAAAGAGTTCCAAGGACAGTGTAAAACACTAAAGAAACCAACTCAAATCATCCTAGATTTGTACAGATCTAAGAGATACAGGAAGAAATTAGGGTTTTAGAAGAAATCCATATAGAGATGAAAGAACCTGTCTAGAATCCCAAGGATCGTAACAAATACAACATGATTTTGCTCGAAATCACACTGGAGTAGCCAAGAATAGACGAGTGGCGAACCCTAGATGTAAGTCGGAGTGGACCTGGGCCCTTGAAGACCTTAGATAAGGCAAGCATGGCATGAGAGAAGCCATTGGAGGTCTTGGGAGTCGATGAGAGATCACCGAAAAGGACCGGAGAAAAGAGGTTGGCAGTTGAAGGGCTAGGGTTTGATTGAGTTACTAAGATAGGAGAGGAGATCACATAATACAGAGGCGGCGAATTTGGAAAATGATTTAGGGTTAGGGGTCGTTTAGAATTAAAAAGGCAAGGGTTAATACAGGCCATTGATCTCTCAGATCAACGGCCATGATTTAATTTGTTCTGGGTTGGGAGGCGGGTTCAGGGGTTGGGTCGGGTATTTTAGCCTGAAATTGGGCTGGGTAGTGGGTTTAATTGAGGCAATGATTGAAATACAATCTGGCTATATTTTAAATAGCTAATTTATCCCTATATAATTTATAATAAAATAACAGATAATTTTTGGAAAATAATTTTGTATAATAAAATGATTTAAAATAGATATTTAATATTTTAAAAATATAGGAGATCACTTTTATGCATATAAATGTAATTATATATTAACAGGGCTAATATTGCAATTATATGTAATTTAGCTTTAAAAATACAAAAAGCAATTATAAAAATACACAAAAAAATATTTTATCAATATTTTGGCATAAATATAGAATTTAGATGATTAAATTATCCCAACAATCATTTGAGGGATACATATTGGGGATTTTTATGAGTAAAATGGGGGAAATAAATTATTTTAAAATCTTTACAATTATAGAAAAATTATAAAACCTTGTGCATGCTTATATATGCATATATATGCTATTTTGAAAGTATTTATGCATATTAAAAATATATAGGGAAAAATTGGGTATCAACAGAAATGCCTGGGCAGAAACTATATAAGCTTCCCTTCACGATTTTCAGCCTTGTTTCACCATTTTCAAGATGGGTTTGGAGCTTTTTGAGAGGATTTGAATAGGGATTCAAGGGGTAACGCTTGGAGATAAGATTTGTGAACTCAATACTCAATTCTATGGAGATTTTTAACTGATTAGACGTGAAATTAGTGGAATTTAAGGGTTTAAATTGGGGAATTATGGCTTGGAATTGGAGAGTTTAAATTGGGGATTTGAGGGGCCATTTGAGGTCTGATTTTGATGTTCTTGGTATGTATAGACTCGTGGATGGATAAGGATTCTTGTGATGTAATTTTCATCGAATTCCGAGACGTGGGCCCAGGGAGTCAGGTTTGGCCAATTTCGGGATTTTTGAGTTAATTTGATTATTTTCACTTGTGCTTTGTTCCTTTAGCGTGTATTAATAATATGTACTGATTTTTGTTAGATTCGAGGCACTTGGAGGCCGAATCGAGAGGCAAGGGCGTCACGGGCTAGAGTTTGGTTTGATTTAAGGTAAGTAACGCTTCCAAACTTGGTTCTGAGGGTTCGAAACCCCGAACTATGTGTTCTATGATTACTATTGAGGTGACGCAAATGCCAAGTGACGGGCGTGTGGGAATGCACCATGAGAATTGTGTCCTGGATCATTCCATAGCACTGCTTGGTGACTCTTTCTTGCTGATATCTGTGTTGTGATGATGTGATTAAGTTAATAAGCTGTAAATCATGCTAATTATCATATTAAGGCTTTACGCTAATACTGTTGAGACCTGAGAGGTCATTTCTTGTTGTCATATCATTAGCTTCATTGATATTCTATACTTAGTCTTGTTCATGTATTTTATATCATGCCTCAGTCTCGATTATTATTATTTGACATATCATATCATTGTTCGGGCTAGTATCATGACATTGTGGGCCCGTGTGTGTGAGACTGGAGAGTGATGACTGAGTGAGGCCGAGAGCCTTATTGTGAGTGACAGTTATGGGATCAGGCTGCACGCCGCAGCGGTTATGTTAATGCTTATATAGTGCTTGGCCTGTAAGAGCCCCTCCTGAGTCTATAACACACCCCCAGTAAGCGCAGTTGATGATATTGAGGGATGGATCTTGTCTGAAGTATTTATACCTGGAGATGGATCTTCTCCATAGGGATGGAATGGTCTTCCTCGGTACTGGATGACTGCGGTCAGTTATGTGTATATATTCCGGGATGGATCTTCCCTGGACTGGATGGCCATATACAGTACCGAGTGGTTGAGCACTTATGAGTAGAGGTACATGGAACATTGGTCATGCTATATGTGCATTGGTACATAAAGATTCCTGAGCTTTATATTACGTACTATTCAGACTGTATTTATTTACTACTGAGTTTGTACTTGAACTACAAGCATGTCTACTTTTCTGTACAGTTTAATTATATTGCATGTTAAGGTTTGGTTCGTCACTACCTGTCAGTCCATAGTTTGGACTTGTTACTTACTGAGTTGGTGTACTCACGTTACCCCCTGCATTAACGCATAAAATTATAAAACTAACATGTAATTAATGTTGTTTAATTTACAGTAGACGACATGGAGGTGTCGCTTATTCACCCCGGACCTTCTAGCGATGAGCTACTGTTGTTATAGAGCGATCATAGGTCCACCCACATATGGGAGGAAGAGTTACTGGCCCAGACTCTCCGCGCCAGGAGAGTGGATGACATGTGGGACTTTTTGAAGGGCAAAGATCTCTATCCCCGTATAGTGAGGCGCCTGCGGGATATGGGTTCTACAAGATTTTGGAGATCGGGCAGCTGCAGTTCGATTGGTCTTTGGTCACGGCCCTGATAGAACGGTGGCAACCGGAGACGCAAACATTCCACTTGCTCTGCCACATGCCATGAGAAAGATGACAGGTGTGCAGTACCTGGACATGCTGCATCAGCTCACTAGTTTCTGGCCACAGGATAAGAATATACTGGCTGGGACTAGTCCTTTTCCATTGACGACTATTCGAGAGTATTTGGAGATATTGCATCCTGACATCGATGGCGATACACCGAATTATCATGTTCACCGGTATACGAGGTTGCTACTACTTCTTATGTTTGGAGGGGTGTTGTTCCCGAACACTTCGGTGAACCTAGTCATCTTGATATTTTTTCATCATCTTGAGCGACTAGATGATTTACCCCAGTATAGCTGGGGTGTTGCTGTTCTCGCCTACTTGTACATGCAGATGTGTCGGGAGAGCATAGGAACCCAGCGTGACATTGCTGGATTGTTGTCGCCACTACATGTGACAATATATTCGAATACTCTATTCATTTTAACATACCTAGTAAAAATATATCTTAAATTTTACGTTAATTTTTTATGTTAGGTTTGGGCCAGGGAGCGGTTCTTGCAAATGCAGCCACCTCTACCACCATTATCTCCGGATGTACCACCTCCGTTTCTCCCTCTAGCTAGGAGGTGGGTTCTCCAGCGAGGATATACGCGTGAGTACGAGGCTCGGCATAATCTCTCCTTGTGCAGGGATATCTTGGATTTGCTGGAGGGCGCACAGGTAATTGTATATCTAAGTTTACTTGTCATAGCTTCACATGTATTGCGTATACTTACTGTCACACCTCTTTTTTATCCGAGGGGTATATAAGGGAGTTTTTCTAATTTAAGTGACATAAATCGAAATGAGATTATTTTATTTAATTTCAGAGTCGCCAGTTGGAATAATTTATTTGGTGTCCCAAGTCACCAGTTTATTTTTAATCCCAAATCGAGGAGAATTTTGACTTTATTTAGAAGTCTGCGAAACCAGAAAATCTAAGTAAGGAATTCTGTTAATCCGGGAGAAGGTGTTAGGCATTCTCGGGTTCCGTAGTTCTAGCACGGTCGCTTAACTATTAATAATTGGCCAAATTATCTGATTTATTAGATGTTTTAAACCTATTGTGCATTTTTAACTTTATAATCGCTTTTAATTATTTATGGAGTTATTTCTTGAACAAGTTACAATTGTCGTACACTTGCCATTTTAGAACACATCGCAAACCATGCTACATGAAATGCACTCGCGATTCGCGACATGTTTATTTTATTACTGTTCAAAGTTGTTACGATCGGGTCACATGAAATGCACACCCGATTTTGGGATTAGGTATCATAACTATTCACAGGAATCGTACCCATATTCACGATGATTTAATTACGCGCCTAAAGCATACTACAATGTTCAAATTATTTCCTAAGCTATTTTTTATCGTTCCCAGTATCTACAACAATGCCTAATGATGAAAGGTATCAACTACTTAATAAAAGCATGGCTTTAAATGTTACAGACCCCAAAGTATAAGATGAAACAGCCCAATTGGGCCATTTGGCAAGGGCTGGCCCAGCCATGATTTCTTTACTGGCTGGGCCAGTCATGCCTTTTTGTTTGAGGCCAACAAGATTTACACAACATACATATTTGTCCAAAGTTAGAAAGAAATCAATTCACTTTTATGTAAAAAAAATTAGAATTTGAGTTTTGAAATTAATTACACTACATGTGATTTACAATACATAAAAGAAATGAATTTATACTATAGTTCAAAAAGAGAAGTCCATGGCTGGGGTCAAGCTGCTAGGCTTAATGCCCAGGCCCAATGTACTAGGCGCAAACCCGCTTTGAGTCGATACCCAAACTGGGCCAAACCACAAGTCTGGCCCAATACTGAACCATAAGGCACAACTTTATTTTAACATTTAGCATATAGCCTAAACCATTTCAACATTATACTAATATTACAAAATACAATAATAGACATGATTACTAATAATCTCCCAACAGGGCTGTCATTAATCACAGTTCACGAATTCAGAACTTAATTAATTATAATGCATCAGGTAAAAAGGGGCTTTTAAAAATCAGAAAATTACATTGTGATCCATTAATACATAAACTTCTACATTAATAACTAATCTATTACATCAGAATTCTATTTTTTGAAAAGGAATACATCAACTTATTCTACTACAATATCTAGAAAATTATTATCTTAGTGAACTCTTGCCCTTTTTTGGATATAATCGATCCAACCAAAGCTCAGTCCATCACATGGAGCCATCAACTTCAGCATGATAGCAGTAGCCAAATTCCAGTTCTGGGCTTGAAAACATGCTGATTTGGCCAACTAGTGACCAAATCCACAAGTTATAACCCATGATCTCAAGTAAAACAATATGTCACTCATCACCAGTAGAAGAAGAAAAGAACCAACTTCAGTAGCTATTCTTCAGAATCAGTGCTAACATTATAAAATTTAACTAAAGAAGCATTTTCCAAACAAGGTCACTTTTTTAAGAGAAAAGCTATAGGTATCAATGTATCAACCAAGCTTACCGTTGATACCCAATTTTTTCCTGTATATTTTCAGTATGCAAAATACTTTTAAAATAGCATGTATATGCATATATAAGTATGTCCAAAGGTTTTCCTATTTTTTCTTAATTGTTAAAGATTTTTTATCAATTTATTGCCCTATTTTATCAAGAAAAAACCCAATAATTATTCCCAAAATTATTATTTTGGTAATTCATTTATTGGATTCTCATATTTGTGCTAAAATATAGCTAACACAATTTTTTCATATTTTTACGAATTTATTCAGCATTTTTTTAAAGCTAAATTGCCTATAATTGCAATATTAGCCTCTTTTAAAATATAAATCATATTTATATTTATAAAATTGACTCCAGTATTTTTCATTTGAAATTATATATTATTAATCATTTTAGTTCCTTTAATTTATTTTCAAAAATTATTTTACTATTTTTTATAAAATAAATAAGGGGGAAAATGGCTATTTTAATGATAGCCCATTTGCATTTCAATTTTAGCCAGATTTGAACCTCTAATTAGACCCAATTCCAAATCCCATTACCTGACCCAAGTCCTAAATCTACCCGACCCACAACCCTTTAAAATAACCCGCTCGGTCCCCTTTTAATCCCAGTCGTTGATCTAACAGATCAACGGTTCACATTCGTCCCTTCCTTTTTTAACCCGACCTATCCCCCCCCCAAACCCTAGCCATTTGCACCTGTAGCTGCCCTTGAATCCCCCTTTCTCTCAATTCTCTCTCAAAGCTTCTCGAACCCTAGTCGCCTCCCTCCACTTCCGTCGTACAACCACCAGAATCCATGGCTTCCGAGGCTATTGAAGTCCTATTATGGCCTCCTATAACTCCTACACACCTGGTTACTAAGGTTTCAAGGCCGGACCACGTATAAGTTTGGCCCAAACTTTGTTTGATTTGAGTTCTATGGCCATCTCCGGCCTTGCTCCGCCCGGCTACGACTATTCAAGCCTGATTCCGACCTCTCTTGCTTAGATCGATGATTTCCAAGCCTTTCTCACCCTTTGGGTTTCTTCCAAAACCCTAACCTTCAAGGTTCTTCTAATTCTTTTAAATCCGTTGTAGATCCGTGTTCTCTTTATGCTTTTAAACGTTTTCTCAAAGTCTCTTTCAAAACTTTACCTTCAAAACCATTATCTTTTCCGATTTAGGGTTTTGTTAGTTAGTTCGAAGCCTTCTCGGATTTTTAGCATGTTCTACTATGTTTCTTATGTTGTTCTTCTACTGTGTTTCTTTATGTTAATGTCTTAGTCTTTTCTTAAGGTTTATGATTTATTTTCTTTGTTGATATTTTTTTCCTGACTCTCTTGTCTTTCATCTCTATACTCGATTGATGGTGAAAACCCTAAAATTTGGGGTTCATTCGAGTTTTGAGACTATTTGCTATGTGATTTGTTTGTTCCTCATCTCTAAACTTGTTTGGTTTCAAAACCATAATCTCTTTGGACCTATTCGAGTTCCTGAAGTCGTTTCATCTACTGCTCAACTGAGTTTCGAGATCTTTGTTTCAACTTTTGTTTCTTTATATGATTCTGACTTCCTGTTAAACTCTATAAGATCTTTTACTTGACCCTTTGCATGCTATTTGATACTCTCTCCCTTCTCCACTGCTGAGTCACTGAAACTGACCTATGTGACTACCATGTTCCTATAGTCTACTACTTACGGATTTTGCAATTGCATAACACTTTCTTTTGTCCTAAACTTAGCCTCGCATAATTGTGTGCTCTTTATATGTGCTGATTTTTGACTGATTGATTTCAGACTTCCTTTGTGTAAGTCTGATTGATTTCTTTCCTTGTCTGTTGATTTCTCTGTTACTTGGTTTGAGTTGAAAACTTTCCTTAGCCTTTCTGACTTGGTTTATTCATGAACTAGTAATTTCGAATCTCAGACTCCTTGATTTACTATGTACTAATTGATTCCTACCTTATTTATTTAACCGTGTATTTCAAAAACACTTCCTTTAATTAAACTCCTATGTATTTACCCCTAATTGCCTACTTTACATAAGATGCTTACTTGATCTCTTTCCTTAAGTAATTTTTTGTTCATTACTGTTTAAGTTTGAACTCCTTAATTAAAGGAAGTTCTTATATTGATTGATTTTAATTGGTACATGATTATTTTCTTACCTTATGTTCTGCCTGTTTTCAAACTATAAATACCATGCTCTTTCATTGACACAAACAGACACCAACACTCGTAGTTTTTTTAACTCACACTTACACCCAAAAGTATTCTCTCTTGTCACTTGTACTGTGGTTTGTTTACAAGTCCTGCTTCTTTTTTCTCTATTTGCCTATTTGAACTGGTATGTTCTAATTAATATTCATCACCACAACAATGTATTTATTTACTACCTTTACTTACATGTCTGCTTACTGCTTATGTATAGTTAAATACTTAATTTAGCATGTTCTAATTTCCTTCTGCCTATTCCAAATCCATTATGAATCTTAAACCCCACCTCTATGTGTTCATGCTATGCTTGAGGCATGGCAGTACTGAAAATTACTGCCTATGACTCAAACTTGATCCCCTGGGATCCTAGCCTCTAATATTGTGTGTTCTGTCAGGCTTATAGGTGTGCCAGCATCCTCCATTGCTGAGCATGCCTAGAGTTTGCCCTTGCCTAAGCAATAGACTCTTTGCAACTGCCCTACTCCCTTGAACCCCTTTTTTGTGTACTTATTTGTAGTTGTTTCCCTCTCCTTTCCCCCTTTTAGAATTTTATTCTTCACTTGCACACTTTCTTAGTCCTTAAGTTTTGTCCCCCTATTGTGAGTCTTGCCTTGGGACCCCTTGAGCTCCCTCTGAACTTGGACACTTGAGGGCTGGCACTTCCATACCGCACTTGCCCCATTCTGATAATACAGTTTGGGTGTGAGCATTGCCCGGAGTCCCATTGAGGCTCTTAGGGAACTTTGACACACTCAAATGGGAGAAAGGCTCTGGATCAATGGTCTTTTTGAGCTGGTCTATCTCATAACTCAGAGAGGAAGTCAAGAATCAAGCTTCCTCTGGTTGTACTTTTCTTTATAGTTTCTGATGTAATTTTATTTATTTTAGGTTGTAAAAATTTGTAATAAATACTTGGGGATGGTTAGTGAAAAGGGGTGGGTGACTATGTATGCAAAAGGTAGAAATCATGACTATAGGACTACTATATTCCTGCATATCCAACTTTCATATAGAAACCATGTCTATAGGTATTCTGAATTCTGCATATTCAAATCATGCCTATAGGTCCATTCTGAATTCTGCATATTCAACTTCATATATAAATCATGACCATAGGACTGTTCAATTCTGCATATACAATTGCATCTAGATTCCATGCTTATAGGTTTAAAACAGGTTTTCTGCATTTAGATACTATGTCTATAAGGCTTCTGCATTTTTATACCATGTCTACAAAGTTTAAAATCAGCAACGCATAGAAAGTATGCCTATTGGAATTCCTAATTGAATCTGATCCGCCTCACTCAAGTATAGATCTAAAAAACCAATAATAATGGTTACTATCAGTTGCAGAACTTATGATCAATTCGTTAAATCTTTCCTCTCTTTTGATAACCTGATTCCCTCACTTAGCAAGTTTAACAAGTATGCATTCAAACAGTTTATTTCAGGCCTTACTATTTCGTCGCTTTCTGAATCCAGTAGATACCATGCCTATCGGATCTTTGTCCAATATTTAAGCAAGCCTTAGGTTAATAATTATAAACTGAATCTGTTTCCCTTAATTATTACAACCAGCAGGCAGGCCTGATTCGGACTTCTTGTCCGAGTTATGAAAGAAACCAGTCTGCCTCAATGTTCAACTCCTTAGTCTTTAATACTTTTAAATCAGACCTAAACAGTATGTGAAAGTCATGCTACTTATGCGTTTTTTTGTTCAAGGAGGTATAACTGAGCCTCTGTTTGTGTATATGTTTCCCCTTAAATGTGCAAATGTGTTTTTGTATGTCGCCTTAGATTTTTACCTTTGAAACTCC